TCCGGCGGCTCCGGAAGCCGCCGGAAGTGGGTATATTCCGCCGGAGATTCTCACTTCTCAGATTCTTCCGACGTTGAAGGAATCCCCGAAGTATGGAGGCGTTATGCTCTGGTCCAAATTCTGGGATGATAGAAATGGTTATAGTGTATCTATAGTTGCGAGTGTGTAAAGAACGTTTTCAACATCAGTTGTATATGTATGTACGTGTTATATCATATGCGCGCGTCGGTGTGTTTGTGTGTGTATATTATATTTCCCTCGACATGGAAATATGGACCGGTTATTGCTATTATCATTTTTCATGCATGATTATTGCTAGGGCAACAAACAATCTTGGTGTGTTCTTAACCGGAATCGGAAACATGCGAAACGCGTGCAACAAAAATATGAAAGGGAAAAAAAATCATATGCACGCAAAACGCAGCGTTTCATGATCATAATGATAATGGGCTTTGGGCCTTGATTAAAAGAACAACCAATCATAATAAGCCACGTCATCATTCCTTTCTTTTACCCAGCTTCGACTCTGAGAGAGAGAATTAAACGTCGCTCTCCTCAAAACTCTAAATCTGCAAACCGAAGCTCTCAAAGAAACCTTAATCTTCTTGTGAACCCTAAAACGATTTGCTCTTCGCTCAAGCTTGCTTTATCTCTTCTCTAAGCCTCTCTCTCTTACAACGCCATTGGTTAGTGCCGTTCCAGTAATCGACGACCGAATATTTCCCGAGATTTTGCATTTCTTCTCTCGGTTTGATTTTCTTGGATTTCGAGGTCGGTTTCGCCTTCAGTGCTCAGTTTTCCTCTTTTGTTTGCTCCTTGGATTTGTTTGGTTGCTTCATTAACCCAAAATCTATGGTATTCGCTCTCTTTCGGCCGAATGTCGGGTTTAGGGGTTATTTAGGGGTTCGGATTCTGAAACAGGGTTCCAATATTTTTATCTAAACCCTAATAGGACAGGCGAAACCCAAGGGTATGGGATCAAAAGCGCCGGAGGCCGGCCTTAGGGGTTATTTAGGCCCTCCCTCCTTTTGTTGCCTGGTATTCATATGATTTTCCCTGGATTTTGATTTCCTGATAAGGCCCGAGTGAATGTTATGTACATTTAAACCCAACAGAGAATGAAGGTTTCTCCGATGATTAGCGTAATCTCATTCGGTGTCGATTTCGTTCTCTCTATGCGTGAACCGATTTTTTTTTTCCTTTGGAACATGGTTTTATGTTGATGTTGTGTAATGGATTCAGGGTTCTTGTGTTCTAAAAGAGAGATTATATACATAGTTGGAGAAGGAATTTGTTTGGTTTGTCCTTTGATCTTCTTCACATCTGTTTTCACATAGGGAAAAAATTCAATATTGCTGAGATTTCTGGGACTGAGACCATTGTTAAGAATACATGTAAACAAATCGGGTCAGTGAAATAAGGATCCATTTGGTTTTGCAGTTAGGTATAATACTGTTTTGTTCCACTTTTGATTTCCTGGGAAATTATGTTTGTATATTCTCTCATGATGTGCAATTTCCTTGCGTACCAAGAAACTGAATATCATAATAGGAAAACGGAAAAACAAAAACACACAATCTTCTGCACTACTTTTGTCACATTCCATAAATTGGAAAATGAAACAGGGAACAATGGGATGGAGGCACTAATTGATCTTTACCCTTGTCTCTTCTTATTGCAAGGACAAAGAACAGTTCAATCTTAGGATAAGATATAACCAGGATGCTAGATCAGGGCACTGGGATTCGGAGTAACATAAGCAAGCAGTTCTTGGTCGTGTTCAAACTCAAGCATGTCTTGCTCAGGTAATGTCACCCATGCCTCGATCCCTTCCCCGTCCTTTGCATCCATTATTATGACCTGCACGCCCACCATACGGCCTGCTGCCACCCATACCGGGTTTCCCCATCCGAAATCGACCTCATATAGCGGAAATCTGCACCAACTAGTCACTGCATACTTGTCCATTTCAGGACTTAGCTCACACAATGAATTCAACATCACACCAATGACCATCTCACCGAGCTCAGCGATAGTCCTATTCTCTTGGGGATTCTCCTTGAATATCTCAGCGAGGTCGTCCTTACTTTTCCTTAATTTGGTAACCGTCTCTTCGATTTTCATCTCTCTTTCTGAACCGACTTTTAGGAATGGCAGAAAGAAGAGATTTCCGATTGCCATTCCCGGCAAGAGAGCTGGAGGAACTCTTGGTCGTAAATCCATGGTTTGTGTCATCACAAGTGGAAGGTTCGATTTCGAGGCCTTTGTGGCAGAGTTCAAAAGAAGTGATGTGGCGGCTTCAACACGAGTAGGTACCATGACGTTTTCACTTGCGGCTCTGCTTTTGAGCTCTTTGAGTTTAGTGGTACTGAAGACAAACCTCTGTGTTACAGGTTCTGTTCCGTGCTTGACAAGAGATGGAAACTCGACAGAAAGATCGGCAGGAGGGTAGAAAAACTGTGTCGTGAATACAGGATTCACTGTATCGGAACACCCTTTTGCAGCAGAAGCCCAACCTTGGACAAACATCATCAGCGAGTATGTGTCGCATATCTTATGAGAAACGCTGACCCCAATCGCCATTCCTCCTGCTTTAAAGAAACTGACATTGATGTTCAACAACGGCCATGTCCCAGGATCCATGGAATCTGATGGAATAAGTTGTTCGGGCAGAAGAGCATCTGGGTTTGTCAGAAGATCCGAGAGAAGCATATCGACCCGGGTCTGTGTAAACAGAGCTCCTTCGTCGTTGCAATCGAGAGAGACGCCTTGGATTCGACCAGCGAGTGGATAGAAGCGAGTAAGAGTCTCGGACAGAGAACTCTTGAGGATCTTGGAGACCGTCTCTTCCTCAGCGGTTTTGTCGTAGAAGAAGATGGCGGGTAAGTAAGTGGTGGGAAGGAATTGATCAAAGAGAGAAAGATGAATGGTTCGGACATGGGAGGGTGTTGTTGGAGAAGCTGGTTTGATCACTTCTCTTCCAATGCGCTCAAGCTTCATCGTCATTTTCGGGAGAACATAAGGTTTTTGTATGGTCCTTGACTCCTTCCCTTGGGTACTACGTATAAATAGCCCATAGACTCAATTTTTTTTTAAAAAAAAAAAAATGGGTGTCCAAATTTGCCAAATTTTGTTTTAAGATTGATAAAGACTCCTACCCGACCTTTTGAAATGTTGGTTTCTAAGGTGGTGGATATATATGTGTGTCCACGTGTAATTTGGGATTTTTTTCATTTTATATTTCTGTAATCTTTTTTTACGTTGTATTTTGGAAAAAATATAGTGACCAAAATCGAAGTCACGAAGATTTTTCATAGGAGAATAGGTATCATGTGAACAGGAACCGATGTAAGGGGTATTAGTTTGAAGTCATATATTCATACAAATACTAAACCCTAATGCATGTGGTGACATCATGCAGGAAATTTACCATCTTTACAAGTTCGGTACATCATTGACATTACACATGGATGATACAGTAGGAGAAATAAATCTGATCCCCCCAAACCCTAAATCTTGGCACCGCCTAAACCCATAATCCATTTCATTAATCTTTTTTTTTTATAAAAAAAAACAGTTTTTCTTTCTATATTTCATTGGAATTTCTACATCTGAAATCGCCCATGTAAATCCCTTTAGCTCTTATACCGTACGTGGGGATATTCTTTTGTTTATATAGCAAAGGTCTTTGATTATATATTGCCTTCCTTAACTTGGTAACCATCTGTAAATTTTTTTTTTTTTTTTTTTTTTTTGTAACTGAGTATCTTGTATCAAGATCAAAACTAATTTCGGTGGCGAGATTAATTTTGTGGTTTGGAATAAACGTCACCTCCCCAAAACTTGAGGTTCATTTTTGTTCCATCAATCCTCAATACGTGCTCTTTCTACAAAATCGGGTTAAAATAAGCAAAGTTAGCTGAGCTTCTACGCCATCTAAGCTCAAACTAAGCTCTCAATATATCAGCAGGAGTCTCGTTGGTTTCGGATCATTAATGGGCTTTTAAGGTTTCGTAACTAAACTGATAAACAAGTTACATTTTGCATTGTTCTGTCTTTCTCCATCATCTCGGTCGGTTATTTATTACAGTAATGGACAATGTACGGATCGATGCACGTGTCTGTTTTCCTAGCCTCGATGCATGGATTCTTTGCCACTCATCGAAGGGAAGGGCCGAGTGTGTACGATAACAATTTTTGGTGAAATGTCAATTTCCATATCACGTTTTCTGTCGGCAATACATATATATGTATGTATGAAGATATAATCATTTTATCTCGATGATGTTTTTATAAGTTCGAGGTTACGCCTCATATCATATGACGCCGACGTTGGCTGCATTTCATGGCTCGTTTTGTTGTGGCGAGCTTGACAAATAAATATATTTATATTTATATAATCATTTTATCTCGTTTTGTTGGGTGGTTGTAAAAGTTAACTACAATTGCTATATATTTATAAAACTAAACAGAATATGACTCTAATATAATATGTTACACTTACGAAAGAAATGGACAAATTAGTTACGTCGAATTCATAAATGTTTATAATAAAGTCAACGAGATTATATATTTTTTTATACATTATTTCTTGTGTATAAAACTGAAGATTTTGTTGGGTTGGAAGCGTATATATTTGGTTGAATTAAACATGGCCAAAATAATGGATTCTTAAATATTACTACATGCCAATTTACTTCCGTCGCCATTGATGGCGTGATCTGGCAGGGGTACACACGTAGATTTTGGGCCTGAATATCTCATACACATCGAAGACATGGGCTCTGTGATATCTTAATGGGCCTGATAAAGCCCAATATTTTGTAAATATCTTGCAAATAAAGAAACAAATTGGGTCGCCATCTCTAAATTTTTTTAAAAAAACGAACTTGAATAGAATAAAAATTGGAAAAATAAAAACATTATTGGAATAAAATAAGTATTTTTTTTACCAATAAAAACCGAAATCGAAACAAATCAAACCAGAATTTGATATAACAGGCGATTGTAAACCCGAAATCAAACGGTGCCGAAAGATGAATGAGATGGTGTCGTTGCGGCGGCAGAGGAGTGAGTCCGGTCATAGCAACGGCATGTGGTACGTTTCGGCCGAGGGATGTCTCCTTTCATAACTCTGGTCTTGATGAAATCGAGGGTTTTGTTTTGTTGTCTCTACTCGTGCCGATTGGAAATTTTTTTCAATTGTTTAGTGACAATTCTTGCTAATTTCCCCATTCCAACGACGTTTCACCAAATGGGTATGGCGCAAAATTCGATTTTCTTTTTTACATTTCTTGGATGAATTCATTGTAATATCCAGGGACAGAGTGATCACATTCCAGCAATTGAAAATGTACCGGATTACATTTAGGGTTTTTGTTGTCTCGCCTGGTGCCCATTGGGAATTTGTTTTCATTCGTTTATAAAACAGTTCTGTTGCGAATGATGAACCCAAAAGATGGAGTGAAGAGTTCAATATGTTCAATTCTGGAGTGGGAGAAAGGCATTTACATTTCCTGCCGTAGTGTTCTTTTCTCGTTTTCTTTCATTTTTCTGTTCATGTGAAAACAAAATCGTCATATAAGATTTGGTTTGCTGAGAGATATGCAGATGCTTGAAGGTAAGGCGACCTTCAAGCTATGGAAATTACGGTCAAAGAGCAGGAAAAAATTCCTCAAGGGTCGAAGAATCAAATTCAATCCTTGATGTTGAGAGGTTCGCTCCATTTTCTCTTGTTCATCTTTATTTGCTCAAAAGAACTTGTCCATCTGTGGAGTAACTCTTTATCTGATGTTTTAAAGGTATTTGACTCTGAATTCGAGCCTTTCAGGTTCTAGAGTTCGGAACCCATCGTTGGATCCGTACCGTTCAGATATATCCAGTTGGTGAGGGCGAGAAGCCGAGCTACCGAAGGTGAGGTCAAATGTGATATCGAGATTCCAGAAGAGGGTGAGATAAGGAGCATTGTGTGGGAAAACCAGAGGTGAGAGAACAGAAAAGGGTGAGGCGAGACGAGCAAAGATCGAGAGAGAGAAAGGTGAATGGCGAAGAGATCTACCCAAGGAACATATATAGGAGAGTAAGGCGACATGAGGTGCGAGCGGGGAGAGGACGAGAGAGAATCTTACACAAATTGTTCTTGTACGCGCCTTGGAGTGCCCGGCAAGGAGGAAAGTCAAACGTACAATTTGTCAACCAAACCAGACAAATAAAGTCAAACACATTAGCTAACTAACTAACTAACTAACAGGCTTGTATAAATGCGTTGTCAACTCCTGCCGCTGGAAGAATCTTACGCACATTGTGGAGAGATCTGTTCTCAAACGGTTGAAAGATCTAAAAGAATATGGGAGATTGGTCTGAACTGCCTCAAGAGCTGCTCCATCTGATCGCTCAACGCATCGACAACTGCTTCGATCTCATCCACTTCCGCTCCGTCTGTTCCACGTGGAGATCTCATACTCCTCCCAGGATTCGCGACGTGTCCCTCCTCCAATGCCCTCTTCCTCCGGACGAGGGCGGCTTCGGAGATGACTGTCACATGTCCAAGCGACGTGTTTACCTTCTCAAGTGGCCTTCAGGAGACCGTCATCGATATTGGTAACCCTAGTTTTCATTTAGGGTTTCAATAATGTAGAATCTTAATATATTGTTTTCTGTTCTTTATTTGATTCTTGATGAACAAAAGATGGTCATTTCCTTTGGTTTATTCAATGGTTCTGATGAGAAGATTGGTTATGACAGTTTGTTAAAGCTACGAGAGGAGGAGAATGGAGAACTGGTTCCGCAAAACTTGTTCGAGATGAGATGCTCAAACGAATACAAGATGGAGTATCCTCGGGTATCGTTTGACTTGCTCAACTGTCAGGTAACTGAACTAGAGTGCGAACACATGGCTTGTTACACCGAATGGTTCGAACCATTTGAATGCCAGTTCAAAGCGGAAGAGAAGGTCGGTTTCATAAGGTTGGGCGGAGGGAATGAAGATTTTGCGGTTTTTGGGAGGCTATCTTTCAAGAGGCTCGCCATGTTTAGATCAGTGGATAAGTGTTGGACCATTCTTGATCCCGCTCAAAGAGATTATGAAGAAACTGCGTTATTCAACGGAAAGTTCTACACAGTCGATTTCTCAGGCAAGACTACAGTGGTAAAAAAGCCTTATCAAGAAGTGAGTTTCTTTAAGATGTCAAGGCCTCTCGGCAAGGCAAAGACAATGAAGCGTAGGGTAAGGAGACTTAGTTTACCTGTGTTTCTTCCGTAGCCTAAGCTTTGATCTTTTTTCTAATTTCCCTGTCTTGAAACAGCTTATACGGTCGGGAAATGAACTCTTACTCGTGGAACTGTGGATGGAGAGTCTCAATTATCGCGAGTGGGGAAAACCTGAACGTCGAAAGAAGATAAGGGTTAAGATTTGCAAGTTAGACGAGGAGAAAGAAGAATGGGATGAAGTAGAAGATCTGGGAGATCGTGTCTTGTTCTTGGCTTATCCGAGTTCATTCTCTTGCTTGGCTAGTGATATTCCGGTGATCAAGGGCAACTCCGTCTTCTTCATGGAGTTCTGGGGCGAGAGCCGTGATTCACACGATTGTATCTTGGTGTTCGAATTAGCGGAACAAAGCGTTAGATCGGTAAAAGATATTCCGGCATATGTTGAGCTGTTCCAATCGCCGGCAGGTTGGGTAATCTCAAACCAGTGGTCGGATTAAGGTACTCACTTTTCAATGTACTGGTGTGGTGTTTGAAAGAAAAGGACAGTTATCTTTCAGATCCTTATGTCTGAGTCTTGTTCTTGTTGGTCCAACTGTATCTGATTCTATCTGTTTATAGATCGATTGATTCCTGGGTTTCTTGGGTCTCAAGGAAATCCCAACATCGCATAGGCTTTTAGGGTTTGTGTAGAAGACATGGGCTCTAACTGTTAATGGGCCTGAAGAAAAATTTTCAGCCTTATCAATAAAATAATCCAAGTCTCAATCTTTTATCCCGTAAATATTTGATAGGAATATTCGTTGTTTGCATGTTCTTTGCCTTTATGGCAAAATCTCAGCCGTCCGATTCTTTGATCCCCCAAGATGGAAAATTGTTTTTGTAATTTTTATTGAATACCCTGAATTGTGTTATCTCTGTGAAAGAAAAATATCCATTTCATATAAAGGTAAAAAGGATATGATACTGATACAATGAAAATGTAACATTTTAGTTGGCAAACGCAAGCATACATGTCTATTCTTTTCCCCTTTTTATCTTTTTTTTTTTTGTTTTTTTTGTAATGCAGCAATAGTAAATTGTTTTTCATTTAACTAAATAACTTTTATCTAAACAAAAACAAACAACGCATCATTATTGCCCACATGATGATGTGGCGCGACCTGATTGGATGAAAAAAACAGCAGAAGTCCTTCAACATGCACCGCACGCGACAAATCACCGGCCTAGTAGTCGTCGTCATCGCCGCCGTCGAAATCATCTCCTGCGGCGAGATCATCCTCCACCTTCTCCGCCGCCTCCTCCGCTATATGATCCTCCAACGCATCCACTCCCTCCACCAACGCAATACCTCCCAAAGCTCCGGCCACCGCACCCACCGCCAATCCCGTCCCCATCCCGCCAAATCTGCTCCCCTTCCTCTCCGTCTCCGCCGCGTACCCATAACCCGGTTGCTGTCCGTATGATGGCGCTGGCGCTGGAGCAGCCGCGTTGTACGGATACCCGCTCGGAGGAGCGGCGTACTGCGGTGGCGCGTAGGGCGCACCGTAAGCCGGAGGCGCGTGGGGCGCACCGTAACCGTACGACGGCGCCTGATACGATCCCGGAGATGGGTATCGAGGTTCACGGACGGTGACGGTGACTTCGAGCTTGCCGTGGGGACGACCGGAGGGGCGTTTGAGCTTTAGGGATTTGACGGTCGGAACCCCGACGCCGGATTCTTCGAGGACGTCGCGGAGGCTAAGACGGGCAGATCCGATGAGGGGCTTAGTGTCTTCCTCCCGGCCGGCGTGGACGATATCGATGCAGAGGACGTTGTCATCGTCGTCGACAGGCTTCTCCGGCGGGAGAGGAATGGCAAGTGTCTCGTTCCAGTGGGGACTCGTGTCGCCTTCCTCGTCGACCCTCGTCGAGCACTTGTACCTCGGGTCGACCCAAACGACGGCGTATGGCTTGTTCGGACCGTGACGCCAGTTCACGTTCTTGATGTCCTTCGCCGACGAGATCGCCACTTCGACTTCCTTGCGCGACGACATTTCTGCAAGAGGGGCAAATTGGGAATTTCTATGCGATTTTTTTTTTTAATGCTTTGGGGAGTAATGGAAAGTTGTGGAGGCTTCGTAGGGGTATTTATACCGTTGAGCGGATCAAGAACAATTCGACGGTTGCTGTGGCTAATGTTCTTTGTTGATTTACCATTTTACCCTCAGGGATTGGGTATTTGGTATGCGGTCTCATGCTGGTATTTACGGTAATTCGTCATAGTGATGGGCCTCCCCTGGACGCATTCATGAAACTTCTGATTTATTTTGGCAGGCGTAGTCCGTAATTCATAAGAAATAACATAATATTTTATATCAAATCTACTCCTATCTGGAAAAAAAATACTCAACCTGCAAACTTATTTCATATTAGAATAGAAGAAAAATTGATAGAACTAAATCATAGAATTGATTAAATAATCCAAAAAAGGAAAAGAATCGTCCTTTAAGTCCAACAAATCCGATGCTCATCTGCGGAAGATACGTTACAGGGAAGGTCGGACCGTAACACAGTCAGAGACACGGAGACAACGCGTACTTTTTTGCCTTTTGTCTCAGCCACAACACCTAGATTTCTCGAACAAGGAAAAAAAAAGGAAAGATTGAAACTTTAAGCAACTCATCAAAGAATCATTGCTTCCTTCCTCTTCCTTTCTTTACGGGTTGTGTCTCGATCTGTTCTTTCCCAGTAACTTCAGATAGATCAACTGCACGGGTTCCAAGCAAAAATGCAGACGAAAGATGGATCAAACACGATGTTAAAATCCGCGGCAAAAGAAAACGAAGATCAGGGAGAAAAAAACACAAGTTTTGAATACCATCTGGTCCTCTGGCCATCAAAGTGAAGAATATGTTATTCAGCTTCTCCATCTTCTTCGCATCTTGTGCTTGGTCCGTCTTGAATTTGAGACACTGCCCAAGAATGGTTAACTAAATCCTATTATCATATGCCTCTCATAAAGATCACACATACAGAGAAAAATATCGTTTCAAAGGCGCATGAAACAGGAAGACGCTCAAACAGGCAGAGGATTTACGATATGCTGACTCCTAGAAAGAATACCGTTAACATGAACAGCTTTTCAAGCTTAGATTGTTGTACATCTTGAAGAGCAATTGTTCCGAATAAACATCCACAAAGAAAAACAGGGGTCAAAGTGAAAAAAACCCTGAATTCCTCTCACTAGCCAACATTTTACACCGACCAATCGAGTCATCGACAATGCCACGGTAAACACCCAACTTTCGATGTCCACAAGAACAGTGCAGTCAAAAGAAGAAACTCAAACCTTCTGTCTTACAAGTGGTATCAAAGGTGCTTCTTACGGTATCTCCGCTCATTCTCAGGCAAACACAAGTTCAAAACAATGAAGACATTTCTCGGTAATATGAGGAGAACAGTTGTAAAAAGATTAACTAGTAATACTGAAGCCTGAAGATGATTTTCACATTAGTGTTTCCAATTCATAGATAGAGGGTCAAGTCTAATAATCATCATGAACCCAAAAGATGAGATCCTCCAATTCAGCATTCTTCATCCTTGTGGAACTTCCACGATTCATAAGCAGATATCAAGTTTCATACCCATGCAATGGATCCACATCATTTGTCTATTATAATTATGAAAATCCCAGGGAAAAAAAGGTTAGAATCCACAAGTAGTGTGAGGAAAGAG